TGCTGGGCCTATGCCGCCCAGATGCGCCGCTGCGGGAGTCCCGGTCCGCCCGCAGGCCGGCTGCAGGTGTTGTGCGGGAGGGCCATCCTGCCTTGTGGCGTGTTCAAGCGGCGGCAGCGGGAGCCAGGCGGGGACTGCGCCCTCCATCTTGCCTTGGGTCCTCCATTTTGGGACAGAGCCGTGTGCGCCCTCCATCTTGCCTTGGGTCCTCCATTTTGGGACAGTGCCATGTGCTTCACCGGAAAAAGCCGTTGCTAGACCCACCCAGGATTTCTCTGGACTAACCAATAATAATCAAGGGAAGTGCACGCCATCACTATGACCACATCCTGTACCGACTCGCGCCTGGCCAATCAGCGGGGCCCACAGTCCCCTCTCCTGCCCTCACTCCACCCCCCTATATAACCCCCTGTCCCATCAGGCCTCGGTCTCTCGGCCACTGGATTTCCCGCTGTGTTAGTGGGTCTGGTGAACCGGGAGCGCAACCCGGCTTGCATTAAAAAGGACTCTTTGCTTTTGCATCGGACTGACTGGCTCCCTGGGGGTCTTGGGAACTTTGAAATCTGGGCACAACAATCTCCACTAAAACATCCAAACTCCTTAGCTCTGAATGAAAATGCTTTCACCATCTGGCCTCTGACTGTCTTTCTAGCTTCACTTACCACCTCATATTCCAGCAAAACATATGCACATGCTATTGTCTCTTTCTTATCTTAGTCTCCCGAGACAACTTATTCTTAATAGCAATCAACACTAACAACTATTATTTATGAAAACTTGCTATGCTACAAGCATATGCTCTTCATGAAATCATTTAGCTTTGTAAAAAATTGTAAAAAAATTATATTATCTGCATTTTACAGATGAGGAACCTGGGCTTTAAAAAGTTTTAGTAATTTTTCTGAGATCTTTAGATACTAAATGGGAAATCTAGGATTAAAATTAGGTCTGGCAGGATGTCTAATGTCCTATCTAATACCAAAACTCTGTGATCCTCTCTG